AAATCTCTGTAGGAGCAGGTAACCTCATCTTTTTCCTGTGGAGTAAATGGTAGATTTGAAGCATCAGTCTTGCAATTAGTAGTTCAACACTTAGTGCTACCAGGGCTCCTCTCACTCATAAAAGCTCCAAACACACACTGCCATTGAGTCAATTCCGACTCTCAGAGACCCTGTAGGACAGGGTAGAACTCCTCCTTTAGCTTTCTGAGACTAACTGTTCTCAAGAGTAGAAAACCTCATCTTTCTCCCTCAGAGCCAGCTGATGGTTGGTTTCCAACGCTGCCCTTGTGGTTAGCAGCCCAATGTGTAACCGCGATGCCACCAGCATTCTTTTTCTTTCCCATAGACCATATTAAAAATTTTTTTAAATCTAATATTCTAATAGTAAGTTTATATTTTCAATGGGAACATTTGAGTTCCCTGGGTGGGGCAAATGGTTAATATGCTAGGTTGTTAGTTTGAGTCTTCCCAGAGACACTCTTTAAAAAAAACAAACAAAAAACTTTATTGTCAATTGATGAAGCTTTATAGAACAGATCATAGTTTTACATTCAGCAATTCTTATGTATGTTATTTCAACTCATCTGTTGCTGTCCTCTTAATGTATTATTTATCTCACTTCCTCCCTGTGTTTCCTGTTTCCAGTCAACCTTCTAACATTTTCTCCGGTTAAATGCTGCCCTTTTGATGTTAAGTGGTTGACTTTTCTAGCACAGGGGTGAATTCAGTGTCAGATATGAAAATTTATTTAAAAGCCATAGGCCCAGGAGTTCTACTAGTTTCTATCCAACTAGTAAGTCTGGTCTCTTTTATGATTTAGAATTTCGTTCTACATTTTTCTCAAGAACCTTCTAATGTTATCTTTTTCAGAGTAGTGGTAGTGGGAGCTAGACACCATCGAGTTCTTCTGACTTCAGAGTTGTGCAGGTAGTGTTTGTATGCCCCATTAATCCATTGGATTAACTGTTTCCAAGTGTCTTTAGTTTTCAGGAAACCAATAGTTGCACCATAAAGAGCCGTGCATGAGTTTTTAAGACCTTAGTTGCTGCTTACCTTTAAGCAGGATGCAGAACATTGTGTTTGTGGACTATGTTATGCCAATTGACATTGATGTACCCCAGTACTATGATCCTGAGCTCCCAGGCTCAGTGACTCATTCCCTTTCCTTCTTATGTTTTAAGAAGTGTTCGTAATTCTGTGCCTTGTATGTTCAATCACATTCATGAGTATGTTTGCAGCAAATAGTCACTGTTAAACCTGTGTATATTCATAGGCATACTCCTACTCTTCCCTCTTGTGCTCATTCAGTCTGCATGTCTATCCAAGCATTTACTCATAATTCCAAGTTACTGCTGGATTGTTGGACTTTTTTTCCCTCCCTAATGATCATAATAGGAGGAGGACAAGGTTTCTCTCGTAAAGAATTACAATCTCGGAAACGCACAGATGCAATTCTACTTTGTTTTGTAGAGTCACCATGAGTCAGAATGGACTCCCTGGCTGGGAGCGAGAGAATAATAACACGTTTATTACTGGGAGAACTTGTCTACAGCCATACACTGATTGTGAAGATATGTTTAAGCACATTTTATTTTTAACAAACTTGTGCATGTATGAACTGGGACCTTCGTAGCAATTCTTTTTTATTCCCCCTAGTATTTTATTCAGCGTGACATTTTCATCCTTCATCCATGTTGTAGCATCCTTCAGGACTTCACTTCTCTTTTGGCTGAGTAGTATTCCATTGTGTATATATACCACATTTTATTTTTCCATCCATCTGTTGATAGGCTGATCAGTTGTTTTATTCTTTGGTTTTTGTGGAAAGTGCTGTCTATCTTGGTGTTGATCATATCTCTTCTGACTCCCAGCATATCAGTGAATTCTCTTGGCTCCACTTTTGAAATACAGTGAAACCTGTGAGAGCCAGAACTCCATAGCTGCCATGTTTTTCTGGGTCTCAAAAGTTTTCCACCTGTGACAGGGTGCATTCTGACCACTGTTCTGTTGCTTTAGTGGGAAATATTGTAGTTTTCCTACTCTGAAAAGTTTGTACTTTACACGTTCTAGCTTTCACACATTTTACTATGTATCTGAAGTTTGATTATTTGTTATTATGTCATCTCCTTTTTGGTACCATCAGTCTTTTTTTTTCTTTCTTGTATTAACCTCCTCACTAGTTTCTTAGCATATCTTGCCCCAGTAGAGTTTATCCTTAATTCAGGAGCCAGTAAAACTTAAATTATATAATGTCATTCTACGATCTAAACCCTTAGGTCTTCCTTTTTCATTTCCACTTACATGGCCTTCAATGTTCTACACAGTCCATCTGCCCATTCACTTCGCCCTCTGTTTGCCCCTAGCTCATTTCACCCTAGTCATACTTGTTGCCTTACTATTCTTGGGACGTGTTACACATACTCCTTCCTCAGGACCTTTGCTTTCACTTTGCCCTTTGCCTGGCATGCTCATTTCCTTCAAGTCACTTTTTCAGATCTTCTCAGCAAAAGCTTCCTTGAACATTTTAAATGAAACATTACAATCTTCTTTATTTCTAATCTCCAACACTTTCAAACATACTATATAACACCCCCCCCCCTTTCTCTCCATCTTACCCCCTTTGCCAGGAATGTAAACTCCTAGGAGAGTTTTTGTCTGTTTTGTTTATTAATATATCTCCTTTAATATTTGCTCAACTCCTATTTATTGAATACATGGATGAGCTATTTATTTGAAAACATCAAAGGAAAGAGTCATCCTGAACCAATACATGAAACATTGTATTATTGAACAGTAATATAATTTCCATGCTTAACTTCTTTTAAGTAATTTAATCATTTCCCGTATATGCATAAAAACTTAAACTTTTGCCTAGTCTTTATTTTTAGCTATTTACTAAAATTTTAAAACCCTGGGGATTCTGCCCCCTAACTTCTCATAGCTCTTACTCAGTTTAATTCTTTGAAGTAAATTGACATATATTATCATCTCATAATATAAATACATAAAATAAGACTTAACCTCAGTGTTTCTTATAACTTTTTGATACTAAATTCAGTTGGCATTAACAGAATTATCTCCCGTTTTGTTAGTAAATGGAAAATTCTTTAAATTGCTTAAATTCTAATTTGCTAAAGCATAAGCAAGCATGATTAGATTAAACAGTAAGAAAATGGAAGATATCACTTAGAAGAAAAAATTAACAGCATTTATTGAAACATTAGATATAAGAAAGAAGGAAGACTCAAACTTATGTTGTAAGTCAAGACTCTGATTAATGAAGGATCTTACTGTTAAGGGAAATAAGAGATTTGGGGCAAGCAGAAAGGTGTTTTGGGGTTTGAGTGTTGTGTTCACGTTTGGGTATCTTATATCTTTGGAAAGGGTAGAATGACTAAATGAAGAGATTTTTCTATTTGGAAATAGAGAATTCAGGGTTAGGTAATGGTAATGATATTGCTTTAAGAGATAATAGCTGAAGTCATGAGTGGATAAGTTTTAAATAAATAATAGAAGAGTGAAGGTAGTGATTAGTATCAAATGCCAAAGAGAAATTAGAGATGAAAACTCATTGAAATTTAGTCATACAACGATAGTTTAAGTAGAGAAAGTAGCTTAGTAGATTAGACTTCTTTGTCTAATCCATTCATTTTGCAAATAAAGTGAGACTCGGCAATACGAAATAATATGCTAAATTGCACACTGTTGTTGGTAAGTCAATTCCAACTCATAGCAGCCCTATCTACAAAAGAATGAAATACTGCCCAGTCCCACGCCACTTGATAATTGTTCTCATGTTTGAGCCCATTGTTGAAGCTACTCTGTGGATCCATCTTGTCAAAGGGCTTCCTTTTTTTCGCTGCCCCTGTACTTTACCAAGCATGATTACCTTTTCCAGGGACTGGTCTCTTGACATGTCCAAAGTATTTGAGACATAGTCTCTCCATGCTTGCTTCTGAGGAACAGTCTGGCTGTACTTCTTCCAAGAAAGATTTGTTTGTTTGCTCTTTTGGTTATCCATGGCACGTCCAATATTCTTCACCAGCACCAAATGCAGCGATTCTTCTTCAGTCCTCCTATTCAGTGTCCAACTTTCCCATGTATCTGAGGCCATAGAAAATGCATCAGGCGCTCCTTAGTTCTCAAAGTGGCATCTTTGCTTTTCAATACTTTAAAGAAGTCTTGTGTAGGAGATTTACCCAATGTGATTCTTAGTTTGATCTCTTGACTGCTGCTTCCTTGAGCATTGACTGTTGATCCAATGCTTCAATCCTTTCTCCATTTATTGTGATGTTACCTGTTGATCCAGTTGTAAGGTTGCTTGTTTTTCCCCGAGTTGGAATCCATAGTGAAGACTGCGTTCCTTGATGATCTTCAGCAAGTACTTCAAGACCTCCTTACTTTCAAGCAAGCAAGATTTTGTCGTCAGCATATGGGAGATACTGTTAATAAACCTTCCTTGAGTTCTGATGCTGCATTCTTCTTCACATAATCCAGCTTCTCTGATTATTTGCTAGGCATCCAGATTGAATAAGTATGGTGAAAGGCTACATCCCTGATGCACATCTTTCTTTATTTCAAACCATGCAGTATGGGCTGCTAACCACACAGTCAGCACTTGGAAACCACCAGCCACTCCATGGGAGAATGAAGAGGCTTTCTACTTTGGTAAAGAATTACAGTCTTGGAAAACCACTGGGACAGTTCTACCCTGTCCTATAGGCTCACCATGAGTCAGAATTGACTAGATGGTGGTGATTTGGGACTTTGGAGTATTCCCTTGTACTGTTCTTAGAACTGCCTCTTGATCCATATACGGGATCTGTATAAGGACAATTAAGTGTTCTGGAATTCTCATTTTTCTCAAGGCTATCCATAGTTGGTTATGATCCACAGAGTTGATTGCATTAGCATTGTCATGTAAACACAAGCAAATGAACCTCATCCTGAGTGAGATCCCAGGGGTTCTCCTTTAGCGGATCTTCAAACCTTCAGGCAAGATGCGTGATAAGCCAGATTTGTCTGAAGTGGAGAAGTTTGACAAGTCAAAACTGAAGAAAAAGAATACTGAAGAAAAAAGTACTCTCTCCTTGAAGGAAGCTATCCAACAGGAGAAAGAATATGTGCAAACATCATAAAATGGAGATGTTCTCCCAGTAGCAAATTGCAACATCGCTTGAGTGTTGTCTTAGGGTGACAGGCTTCATTTTGTAAACCTATGTGTTTATAGAGATTTTAGGAATTTTCTGATGTCTTTTTCATATTCTCTGACTGAGGACAGAGGTAGCCAATAATAATGGTCCATCATCTTTGTTTGAAAACTTCCCATTGGTGTATAACTGTCACATGGCCCATGCTATCAATGAATCCAGCATGTAAGATCTTTGTGTGTGTGGTTCCTGCCTTCCATACAGGATATGCCATTTTCAACCTCCAATGGGTACCTCCGTCACTCAAAAACTTCCATGACATTGCGTGCTTTTCCTGCTTCTCACAGTTTATTTTCATTGTTAATGTAGCACTAAAATAAAAAATATAATCATTTTTTAAAAAACCACACAAGCAAACATTTTTCTGGTATTCTCTGCTTTCAGCCAAGATCCATCTGACATCAACAATGATATTTCTTGTTCCATGTCCTCTTTTGAAACTGGCAGATTTCTGTCAATATACTGCTGTAATCATTCAACAATGATGATCTTCAGCAAAACTTTACTTGCATGTGTTATCAATCATAATGTTCTATAATTTGTACATTCTTTTGGTTACCTTTCTTTGGAATGACTACAAATAGGCGAATGAGTGCTTCCAATGCCTTATCACCTTGTTGAAACATTTCAATTGGTATTCTGTCAGTTTCTGGAGCCTATTTTTGCCTAATGCCTTCAGTGCCGCTTGGACTCATTTCTTCAATATCATTGGTTCTTGATCATATGCTACCTCTTGAAATGGTTGACTGTCAACTAGTTTTTTTGTATAATTACTGTATTCCTCACTAGCTTTAGTGATTGGTGCACAGATTTGAATAATAGTTATATTGACCGGATTTCTTTGTATGCAAGAGGATATTATACTATCTTACAGCATTATACTGCAAGATAGATCTTGAAAGGCCTTTTTAGATAATGAATGTGACATTGTTCTTCTTGAATCTCTTTTCCAGCTTAGTAAACCATATGATTTTTTGATTCAAAATGGCCAATACCAGTCCATCTTATACCACTAATGTCTATAATATCAATCTTTATGCATTTCATTTTTAACAACTTTCAGTTTTCCAAGATTCATATTCCATACATTCCAAGTTCCAATTATTAACAGATATTTACAGCTGGGTTTTTTCCCTCTCATTTTGAGTCTTGCTTCATCAGCAAATGAAGGTCCTGAATGCTTTACTTCTGAAGGCTTTAATCCATCCAGTTCATTGGTCGACTCCTCTGAGAAAGCAACTCTTCTGCAGTCATGCTGAGTGCTTTCCAACTTGAGGGGCTTATCTTCTGGTACTATACCTGACTGTTCTGCTGCTGTCCATTAAGTTTTCCTTGGCTAATTCCTCTGACATGTTTAACTTATTCCTCTTCATAGTCTGGAAGCTTTACTGAAACCTGCTGGTATTTAAAATACCAGTGCCATAGCCTCCAGCTTCACAGCCACACACAGACCATCACAGTAAGACAAACTGACAGACAGTTGATGGATACACAGCTTATAAATGACAAACTAAGGTAGTGATCCTGATTCCTACAGATTTCTGTTTTTCTCATTACATTGGCAAAGTGATAAAACATTAGTGAGAAATATAGTTTCACTCAGGATGGAAGCTGGATAGCAGAGTTAAGACAGTGAAGTTGGGTATCAGGATGGAACTAGTAAGTATGGTCAATTTCTTTGAGAAATCTGGTAGTGAAAAAAAGGAATGAAATGGATATAATTGGCAGGGGCACTAAAGTCGATCAAAGTTCTTTGGTACCAGAAATACCCTTGCAGAGAACAAGGGATAAAAGTACTTCTTTCTAGGAAGATACAGTGACCAATTCAAAGTTTAATGCATCGGCAGTGGAGCTAACTATAGTTTTAATACTGAAATTGATGTTTTCTACATAAAACCATACTACGTATTCAATGGCCAACCTGATTCTGTCTGAAGAAGAAGAGTAACTTTAATGGATGTCATTTTGTTGTAAGTTGTAGATTAGTGATGTGATTGGCATCTTGGAAATATATGACTTTGTATTTTCTTGTTCTCCAGGCCACATGACCTATAAACTCTAAATCAGGAAGATTATATGTGATGTGAAGATTTTAAGTCTATAGTGTCCTAATTTTTAATATCTTAAGAGTTGGACTGCTAGCTAACCTCAAGATGAATGGTTCAAACCCAATGTGGGAGAAAGGTGAAACTACCTGTTCCCGTAAAGATTGATAGCCTCAGAAAGCTTATATAGGGTTACTATGAGTTGGAATCGACTTGACAGTGGGTTTTTGTTGTTGTTAATTACCATTTTGATGATGTTAATTAAGTTATTAAACTAACCAAACCCAGTGCCTTCACCACTCCTACTCATAATGACCCATACAGGACATAGTGGAACTGCCCCATAAGGTTTCCAAAGGTTGTCAATCTTTGTAGAAGCAGATTGCCCCATTCTTCTCCGATGGAGCAGCATCAAGTGAGCTCAAACTCTTGGCCTTTTTCTTAGTGGTTGAGCACATTAACCACAGCATCAGCGGACTTCGTATGCTATTAAAGAACCCAGCACAAGAGATACTCGGTTCTAATTTTAAGACATAGTGTCATACTGGAAAGAATTTTTAGTGAGATTTGATGAATATAGAGAAAGTAAATGCTACCTAGGAGAAAGAGAAAGAATTTGCTTTTATTTTTTTAAGAGCTGGGCCAGCAACAGGGGTGGGGATTTTATATGACTGTTGTTTATTAGAAAATTGATCTTAAGAGACTTCCTTAACTTTGACCAAGGAAAATTAAAATATGAGACATCTTTTATATTTGTGATGGTATTTTGAAGTCTTAGAAGCCAAGTCTGACAGAGAGTTGAAAGTTGGATATGACATCTTGTTTCTGCTACTCACTCATTTCTGAAAGCATATGGCCATTGTGGTCGAGCTCTTGCTGCTAGAAAGAGTGTGGAAGAAGGAGACAGAGAATTCTGTAGGTCATTAAATTCGGAATGAATTGCCAAATCAAGATACCTTTGTTTGTTGCTGGATTCTCAAAACACACACACATACACACAGACTTTGTTAGGGTGGAGTTGTGCTGTTTCAATGATTTCTTTGAAAGGTGTGTATTACCTTGACTAAGGAGTAGAACCACCATTTGTCTGTCAGTTTATCACAGTGTGGTAGCTTGTTTATGGCTGTGATGCTGGAAACTATGTCACCAGTATGTTAAATATCAGTTGAGTCTGTAAGCAGTGGAGCTTACAGACTAAGAACAGATTACAAAAAAGGAATAGGCTGTCCACTAATGAATGATTAACCACTGAAAATCTTAATAAATAGCAGCTGAACATTGTCAGAGATAGAGCTGGAAGATGAGCCAACTCCAGTCACAAGACACATCTGACTTCTCAAAGTGGAGTTGACCATAATAACATGGATGTAATAAAACCTTTGGGACATTTATTTACTTATGGAACATGACTCGTTGGTGCAAACATCTACTAATAACTTGAATGTGGAATGTACCAAGTATGAAACTAGAAAATTTTGAAGCTGTCAAACATGAAATGGAACATATAAAGATTGATATCTTAGATATTAGTAAAGTGGCATGAACAGATACTGGCCCTTTGACTCAGACAATCACGTGGTTTACTATGCCTGGAATGCCAGTTTCAGGAGACATGATAGCACATTCATTGTTAAAGAGAACATTTCAAGATGTGTTTTAAGTACAATGGTCTGTGATAGGATAATTATATCCTTAAAGGAAATAAATCAAACAGTGTATTACATTTGGCAGATATGCTGCACAAACCCTCTTCAAAGTGTTAAAGAGCAAGGATGTCATTTTGAGGACTAAAGTGCACTTGACCCAAGCCATAATGTTTTCCGTCACCCTTATCTGCATGTGAAAGTTGGAAACTAAATAAGAAAGACTGAAGAGGAATAAAATTTTGGTTCTCATGAAGAATATTGAAAATATCATGGGCTATCAGAAGAACAAACCAGTCTGTCTTGGAAGAAGTACAGTCAGAATGCTTCTTGGAAACAAGAACACCTTATCAGGAGAAACCAGTCCCTGGCAAAGGACTTGGTAGAGCGGCAGTGAAAAAGAGGAAGACCCATGACATTATAGATTGACACAGTTGGGCTCAAACTTAACAATTGACCGGGCAGGGCCAGGCTGTATTTCCTTCCCTTGTGCATAGGATCACTGAGTCAGAACCAACCTGACAACACCAAATAATTAAAAATAAGTTCTATACTTGTAGCAATTATTAAACACTTTACACTTGACTGGTAACTGAGCGGTTGTTGATTTGAAACCACCCAACAGTACTGTGGAAGAAAAGTCCTGCAGTCTGCTTTCATAAAGGCAGTACAGCCCAGGAAACCCTGTTTCAGCAGTTGTACTTGTAGCACACAGGATTGCCAGGCATTGGAAACAACTTGATGATTGCAAAAGATAACAACAACAAAGATCAGATATAAAATTAAACCTATACTGAAAGGTTGAAAGTATATTTAGTCGTATTTCATCAATAGGGAAACAAAGGCACAACCACAATTGCATAGTTATAAAATCATAATTAAAACTCCCACCTCTTTCCAATGCTCTTGGCCTTAATGTTAAAGGGAAAGTTTGCCCAGTATTTGAATTGTTGGGTTTTTCCTTATAGACACATAGTCTTAATATACTCTAGTATAAAGCGTATGTACCTGAGAATATCCAAATATTTAATTGCTGTAATTTGTTTTTAGAACATTTCAGTTTAGAAAAAAATGTGTCTTGTTTATTTTTTTTGCTTGCTAAGCATGTGTGATTGTGAGAGGCCTTTAGTCTGACTGCCCACATGGTCTGGACTAAAGAACTAGCAGTTTGTTTGAGAACAAAAGAGAAGCAGGGAAAATAGGGTTTTTT